GTACTTAGTTGAGTTTTTGACACTCCAGAGATATATGAAAGGCAGCCAAAGCTGTAAGGTAAATAGTACGAATGACAAGTGTTCTGTTTGTTACTAATACCTAAAATCGACCACATTTTTTATTTCATAAACCCTAAGAATAAAATGGGTACCTGATATTTGTGTTTCTACTAACCATGTAAATTCTACTTCGGGCATTTAATTTTACGTTTCTTTACTGAATCATGAATGGTCCTTCCAACCAGATTTCGTTATATACTTCTGTAATTTCGATCATTGATTGAGTTTAGTTTTAAACATTTGAATGTGTTCGACTAATTTTTGTGATATTTTTAGTGTTTGTTTCTTTTGTATTTATATACGCACGATTTCGATCTTTAAATGTCCCGTTATAAGATTCATTTTAAGAAAATAAATTTTAATAGCTCCTTGTTGGATCTTACAAACAAGAGTGTGCCAACTGTGTTATACTTACCTGGCATGTCGTAAAAGGCAATTAATATTATATTGTGATTGCGTATGCGATATGCCACCTATCATTTCTTTCAAAAATTTTCACCATATCTATTTTTGGTTTAAAATAATCCGAGTAATTCGCTGTTCCTTAGGCTGTCCACTTTCTCGGCAATTACAGGGGTGGCGCTATGTAAATTTTAAAAGCTAACAATTTCAAATAGTGCGCTGTTAAATTTATATATTCGAAATCGTGCGTAAAATGTGTACAAACGTGCCAGAAATATCTGTAAACGCTTCCCTTTGTGCCGTGCCGCATTGCGCCTTTTGCTCACCCTTACTGTACCTGGTGTCCGACCGAAGGTCAATTTCTGTCCAAAGCCAAAGCTATTGCTACACCTTTCGGCTGAAGCCTAAGGCTTAAAAAGATTGGCTTAAATAAAGTGTATGAATTACTTGAATATTTTAAAATTAAAGGTTTATATTAACTTGTATAAAAATTGTGTCGCCACGCCCCATCGCGCTCTCGCTCATTCGTTTAATTTCGGCGTTTGTTAGAAACCTTTGGCTTTCAAAACCATAAACGGCTTCGGAAACCAAAGGTTCCGCCGAAGGTAATTCTTTTTGTCAAAGCTGAAGCTTCGGTCGGACACTAACTGTAGCGTTCCCTACCCTCGTGGCGTGACGTCACAGGCTTACAGATATTTCGGATGAATTGTACGTGGTGTCCCGTTCTGCAACTAATCCCGTGTCTGTCCCGACAGTTAAACCGTCGCCCGTGTCGTGTGCCGCCATGTCGACGACTTGCATGGATTCCCACGCTGCTGTAGTTTTTACACTTCAATTTTACACTGCGCTTACTGTATTGACGGGATATCTAAAAAGCCCTACCTTATGTAATGCAGAAATACGCAACATTTTACTTAAACCTAATGTTCATTTATAGTTATCGCATTTAAAGACGTTTGAAGACAAACTTTAGCACAATTTTTTATATGTACTAATTTACTCTTTAATAAAATTCGATTCAAGAAGCCTAGCTTGGATGTGAAGAAGTAATAATTTATATTACATTGTGAGTGGTTATTTTTAATATTTCAAAATTTCATAGATAAAAATCATTAACAATTATTTTTTATGAATTATTATAATACGTTATCTTGAAAAAGGAGTTAGTAAAAACGGGATAAGAAGCATCCTCTATCAATATATCACTCTCTGGCTCTCAAACTTTTTCAGTACAAGATCACGTCGATTCATTACACCGTTCTGATGTGAAAAAAGGACTAACAAACACATTTTCGTATTTATAAAGATCGTTAGAGATTTCCTAAAACTTTAGTCATTTAAAGGTAGGTCATTTTCATATCACCGTCAATGGAGTTTACTCGATTACTGTATATTTAATATGGACGTCTACATTCAATTTGTATGATTTTTTTTCTTTTTTTTTAATTTTTTTTTTTAAATTAAATTAATTTTTTTTAAAATATAAAAAATTAAAAAAAAAAATTTTTTTTTTTATATAATTTAAAAAAAAAAAAAAAAACCCCTTATAAAAAAAAAAAAAATATATACACCAATTACCCCAAAAATACAAACAAAAATAATTCCCCCCCTTTATTTTAAAAATTAAAAAAAAAATTTAAAAAAAAATTTTTTTTTTTTTTTTAAAAAAAAAAAAAAAAAAAAAAAAAAAAAAAAAAAAAAAAAAAAAAAAAAAACATAAGAAATTTTATTTATACCTTCCCCCACTTCAAATTATATTAAAAAAAATAATAAATTTTAAACAAATATAAAAAAAAAAAAAAAACATAAAAAAAAAAAAAAAAAAAAAAAAAAAAAAAAAAAAAAAAAACCAAAAAAACACGAAGTATATATTTATTTCAAAACCCCACAAAAAAATATTATAAAAAAAAAAAAAAAAAAAAAAAATTAAAAACAAAAATCAAAAACAATCTTTCTTTTTTTTTTTTTTTTTAATTTATAAATTAAAAATTATTTTAAAATTTAAATATATTTGTATCACAATCATTAAAATATGGAATTAGCAATCAAGTATTATTGTTAACGGCGTTGTGTCTCGCTCTCTGATACCCTCATTGGTCACCATAATATGCCAGCCGAAAACGTGCATTAAGTGACTTATTTTTTGTATCAATATTGCTTGCATAATCAACGAAAAACAAGTTTTAATACTAGCTTTTTCAGTCATCATGCAGTTTTTGACAATAGCAATAATATTTACTTAGGAAAGTGTTACGGAAGGCGACAATTGTCATAACAGAAATATACACTTGTGTAGTGATAATGTTATCTGAGATTTGGTTTTGTTCTTTCTAAATCTAACCGTAACTTTTTTTAAGGCAAGACTGTTAATTTTAATAAGAAATAGAAACAGTGATACTTAATAAAAGTAAATCGTAAATGACATAATATGTCAGCATATTTTACTCAATATAGAGGTTATTTAAATTAATTTATCATCCCACATCAAACCTGTTGTCAACTCTGCCAGTGTTGCATGTAATAATTTTATTTTTTACCGTATTGGCTCTGGGGACTTGCTGTGGGCGTGTCTAAATGTGGAAGAATGTTGAATGCCGCGTTATGTGAGTTTGTATGTTCGTATGTTTGATCTAATTGTACGTTTGTGTTATATTCGATATCCAATAGATAACGTAACGTATATGATTTCAATACTGCCTGTAATTATCCAATAGTGTTGAAAGAAAAGGTGGTCCTCTCGAACCGGATAGGAAGAGGCAATATTTAAACCATGTTCGCAGTTAAATTAATGAATTGAGGATTAAAATGTAATTTATCGAAAGTAATTGAATAAACATTTATTTTATAATAAGTAGTAATCGTAACATTAAAAACTAGGTCTTGGAAGACATAATAAAATTTGCGAAAAAAACATTCGTTCCGTCCCGCTCCCGAGTCGGACGAACGGTAGGTACAAGTGTAGTAAGCTTTTTGTGCGATTTTATGTCTTATGCAGCCTGTAATAAGTATGTTTTTAATTTACAATCGCTTGAACCACGGGTACGTCATTTGTGAAATGACAAAATTTGTACAAGAAAATAGCTGAGGCTGTATCTAATTTAAACTTGATATTTAATTTGTAATGGCTATCAATACACCTTAAAATAAATGATTAATTTAAGAGTCAATGTTGGTAAAGTCACAGCGATCGAGCTCTGTGTATTGGAATTCTCCACCGATAGTGTTACCATACATTAAAGTATTTAAACAGAAGTTTGGTAATAAGACGACCACGGGAAGCGTACGTTCACGTTGACTTAAGTTCGCCACTGCGTTAGACTGAACCGCTGCAAAGGCCACCGGCCGAACTGTTTCAATCAATCAATGTTTTATTGTAATGAACAAGACAATTGTATATTAATTTCGTAAATAAAATACTTTCTGAATACAAATTGTGTATTTTTATTACTTTCCCTCATCAATATGTGCAGAGTATTGAAGTTTCATACAAGCGTCTCACAACACGCGCACAAGCTCAGGGTTCTATTACAAAACTTTCTATAACCCCAAAACCTATACCAGTGTTAGCATTATTTTTAAGTAATTTAATTTAAGGATGATATAACCCCTTGGAATAAGTTTATCGCTACCAAACTATTTCTCATTTATTTTACGTATTTTTCCTTATTGTATAAAACTGCAATGACAACCGAATTTACAGTCCTGACCTGATGGCAGGTGGCTACTGTAGTCCAGGACACCTGCAGCCAACTTTATACAAAGAAGGCAGCATTGTCACCTCGGAGGAAATTAAGATGGAATGCCTCACAACCTGTAATTATACTGTCTCTACCTTCCTTTATGGTGGAACGCAGTTTTGCAAGCATTGCTATTTGTCGGCAGAAATTTGTAAGAGGGTGCTGCCTACACAAACGTAGAGTTGCCAGGTCTTAAAACCGAAAAGGCAGACAGACCAATGAAACTTAGCCGAACATTTTGGTAAACAGGCCGGAGACCCTTAATTTTTTTAGTCTTAGTAAAACGACATTTTTTAAAGTAAAGCTTTTTGTCATTTACCAAAAAATCTTAAATTCTAATGTAATGTAAAGTAACAGGAATTGAATGAACTAGTCTTCTTTATTATTAATCATTTAATATTAATTACAATATTAATAATTGCAATAGTATGTACGTAAGTCATTGATATACAAAAAAAACCTAATATATCAATGATGTAAGTATATGAAAAATGGTCCCTAACAAAACCCGGACCGGCCGAACACCGTCTAATTTGGCCGAACACACAACCAAAAAGTCTGACTGTGTCCGGCTTTAACCGGACGCCTGGCAGCGCTACCCAAACGGACACTGGGACAGGAAAGAAATCCTACCACCTTTTGTTTCACCAATTGTGTCACAATATATAATAATTATTATTTATGATCTATATTAAATAAAAGAAATATTTCCATATCGTAAACTTCATTCATGTATCATCAAGTCTCAATTGACAATCTTATCAAACCAATATATATTTATATAACTTGAGGATGTACCGTTTATTTTCTATCGCCCTTCTCGTTAACGTTCACCAGTAGTGTATAATAGGAGAATGAAGTCTTGATAATCTGTAATAAGAAATACTGGTTAAATCTAGATATCCTTAGTAGACATTCAAAATATGATAAATTTGGAACTTTGACAAAAATAAAAATAGCTTTTCTCTTCATTATCAAATAAGTACAAGAGAAAGTTCTCTGTGATATGCGACAGACCTTCACCACTTCATCAAGAAATGAAAATGCACAGCTTATTGCACAAATTTTATACAATGTCTATTTTTTGAACAATATATTATATAACATAATACATTTTATACAATGTCTATTTTTTGAACAATATATTACATAACTTTACGTGTGGTGATACTTAAGAGAATCCATATTAACGCTTCTTATTTCGTGGATACCTTAAAAGACGATCAAAGAAATGCAAAAAAGATTTCTATAACGTTAAGTAATTCTTATGTACTCGACGTAAAATACCCAGTATTGCAATCGCCAATCCTCCACCAAGCGTGGCGATTATAGAAAATTCTGTCTGTTAAATAAAAAGGCTATACCGTCAAATCAAAATATCAGATCTCTTTCTGGGCCAGATCTGATGCTGCTGTCACCAATCTGTCTTTTAATATCGTTAATATTCGCCACTATCAAAAATTTCTCACTAATTGGAAATGATTAGTACTGTCGTGTCGGGAACTCCTGACCCACTATCTGAAATCCTCACAGCTGTCGAGGATCTTTACTTTGAAAGAATAAGGAAGAGAGACCCATATAGTGAGGCCGTAAAGTGTTAAGACATGCTATAGACAATTTTGCAAATGGTATTAGCACAGCCCAATGCTGGGATCGGATATGTCTAAAATCACTGGTTATTAGTCGGTGGTACTTGGAGTCACCCAAAATGGCTCATTTTTGGAAATGATGATTGTCGGTTAGATACTGCCGATTTAGTTTATAATACAATAATGCCACATAACAAGTCATGTGTTTTGCTGTAGAATAAACTTCAAACTCAACCTTAACCTAATTTATAGTCTGTCTAAAAATTGTGGTCAAATGAGGTAAAATATTTTATAAAATTGCATTTTTTTTATTTCGTATCGCATAATTGAATTTTCAAAAAAAGCCAAAAGAAGTAATGTTACTTTATCATTCTCAATAGAGTTTTGGAGGTGGAACGTGCTTTACAATGGTTCAAAGGCCCAGAAGCCATGCCAAAATATATTAAAAACGTGTTTTCCGCGTTCTGTTTCAGACTATGAAATTTCAGAAAATGCCTTTTGTACGCCGATGATCAAGTTATTCTTGCATCGTCGGCGGCCGAGCTGCTAATGATGGTTACATTAATGAACAGATCATTAAAAGAAAGGGGTATGAAAGTGAATGCAAGTAAGACGAAAGTTATGGTTTTTGAAAGAGAAGAAAGTAAGACGATATGTGAAATAAGTATAGAAGGAGAGTTGATCGAGCAAGTAGATGAGTTTGTATATCTGGGTTGCGTATTTAGCAGGGATGGGAGATGTGATAAGGATATAGAACGACGAGTGAATGCAGGAAATAAAATAAATGGGGCCCTACACTCTATTGTGAAGAGTCAAAATGTGTCGAAAAAGGCACGTACCTATGGCAATTCACAATGCTGTGTTGGTCCCTACTTTAACGTATGGTAGTGAAAGTTGGGTGTGACAGAAGAAGCACGAGAGGAGAATGAACACAGTGGAAATGCGGTCGTTAAGGAGTATGTTAGGGCTGAATCTGAATGACAGGGTAAGGCTACGGTCTCCTATTAAATGCTATACGCGACGTCCGACTTCAGCGTAAACGTTCCGATCGGCGTCTGAACGCCAGGCACAGCGTCAGCGGTCAATACATATCTTAGCAATGAACGACGTCTAGACTTTCGATCAAACAACAGTTAAATAGCTGACAGTGCCCACGTGTGGTTGTGTGTGATATTTGTACATAAAATGGATATAAATTCAATACTTTTGGCGGCGCTTGTGTTACTTGAAGAAGAGACACAAGACGACGTATACGAAGAAAAATAAAGGCAACAAGGCACCGATTATTTATGAAGAGAAATGAAGAAGGATGTTTCCAGCTATTATAATGAAACACTTAAAAAACAGCAATTCTAAATTTACTGAATATTTTATTATTAATCAAGAACAATTTAAACATAATAATAAATCAATAACTCGTCTTTTTCTTTATAAAATTTTTTCATTTTGTACTGACGCTAGACACGACCTTTACGCTGCAATGGTTCGAAATAACTAGAGACGCAGCGCAAAGCGTCTTAACGTTGCCTACGACGTCCATACGCCGACATCAGCTTGTGAAAGAGACCACAACAGTACATTTCTATAGTAAGCATCGCGGCATACGGCGTGACGCTGTAAACGGCCGATGGCGTTTATAGGAGACCACCGCCTAAGAAATTGTGTAATAAGAGAAGAGTATGGTTTGCAAGATGATGTTGTGACCAGGATTAATAAAGGAATGCTTCGGTAGTTTGGTCATGTGGAAAGAATGAATGAGGAAAGAGCGACAAATAAAATGTATGTTGCAGAAGTGAATGGCAGAGTCGGAAAGGGACGTCCTAGGCGAAAATTTATCGACCAAATTGGCGATTTATTGAAAACGGGTCAAATTAGGAGTACCCTTGACCGACGAGCATGTATGCGTAGGTGTATGGATGTGAAGGAGGCGAGAGAGGTGTGTCAGGATCGTGCCAAATGGAAGTCTGTAGTCTCTGCCTACCCCTCTGGGTGACAGGCGTGAGTGTTTATGTATTATGTATGTTTCAGACTACGAAAAACTTGTTCATTCATCATGTGGTTTATGATTGTTCAAAATAAACAATTATATTTTTATAGCTTATTAATTTATGATTAGATACGATTTTAATGGTTTTATACTATGGTGAAGAAAGAAAAATAAATGTACAGACCTCATCTGACAGCTGTTACAACCTCAAAATTTTATTTACTTAATAGCATTTTTCCCTGGCCTCTAAATGAAAAGATGATAACTTATTATGTTATTATAAACAATAATTGTTTTTATACAACAGTAGTTGTAAGTAGACGCGATCTGTTAAAGGAATCAAGTGACAGGTCAATCAATGTATGGAAAGTGGGCATGATTCTTTCATCAATCCTTTCCCTCCGTCGCCTCTTACGACACCCCCACCAACTATACGGCACTTACTGCATTAATCACTTACAGCAACAAAAGTGTGCAGATCCATGGGCAAAAATTTTCCAGCACGAACCACAATCGGTCTCCGGTTAGCTAAGAGGATATTGAGCAGCAGCCTCCTTGGACGTGGACCCATTGTGTGCCAAGAGCTCTGGTATGCCGCTGTAGACACACGATCTGCCTAAAACCAAATTTTTCCTTAACTTTAAGATGTTAAGAATTTATTAGTTAAGATCAGCCTAATAAAATAAAATGATGTGTCCTAACTAGCTCCAAGAGCACTTCTCGCGCTCCCTAAATTGTGTACACTATTCCCAACACCACTACACTAGGAAAGAAACACCACCGTCGATAATACGACTCGTGTTGCGCCTTACATTGAGACTGTTGACGGTAAACTCGCGATGGATGACCGCTAGCTAGGCGAACGGCGGTGCATTAGTGCACGCAATTGAGGGAGGGTGGGAAGTGCTCTTCAAACTAGGTAAGACACATTTTTTTATTTTATTACACGGATTTTAACCAAGTAATTTTAACATCTATATTACAATGGAATTCCGTAGTAACTCCTGAATCTATTCAATATTTTCTTTACCATTCTCCCGTGACAATATAATATTAGCTTTACCTATGAAATTGTAAATACGTTTTGTATGAAATAAATTAACGTAATTTGCCTCTGGATCGAATGCTTCATTACCAGCAAAAAGGGTCGCTGGTTCTCTACACATCATACGAAACACACCATCATTATTTTTCTGTTTCACTTTGGTATTATGTGAGAGCGCGGTCGTATCCAAGTCGAGCTGATCCACTCGTGTTGCAGCTAGCTGCGTGACTGCAGCGTGACTCTACGGTCGTCAGTATGCCTGCCAACCATGCTTATTACAGCAGATATTTACTACTACGAGAGAGGCTCACGTCCAACAGTAAACTGGCTATTACGGGCTAATTAATAAGAATACAAGTCGCGGCACGTAAGTCTAGCGCTTGACGAAACGTAGAGAGGATAGCTGCGCATGTCATATCAGTATGGGGGACGGAATGCAACTGGAGAACCAATCAGCGCGTCCGAACGATATGCACTCCCGTCCCGTAACCAGCTTACTACCCCATGATACCTTATAACTTGTACTTAATAACGATCACTGCTAGACTTTCGTGCCGCTACTTATAAGAACATTGTTTTCTCCTCTTATCTCTTATAAAAAGTTACCTCCACACTAAGATTTTCGCGTGTATCGTGTGGACAGTTTACGTACATAAACATCACAATGACAAACATATACCGGGAACATATATTTGTAGCTCATACAAGTTCTTGTTCCTTGCGGGATACGAAGCCGCGGCCCTGAGCGCTGCAACTCATTGCTAAACCACTACGCCACGGAGTCGTTTTATATTAAGTATGTATTTTTGTGTTTTTGTCAATCAAATCACAAATCATCTCAGTCATAGTTTAACACACCTGTAAAATAATTTGGCTGCCATAATAGCAATACACGAATATATCCAAAGCCACTGCAGCCAGATACTCCACGGTTACCATATCGAATTTCTGAAACACATTGATTTAAATTTTAAGTCTAATCATGCTTGATAACAAGAATTTAAAGAGTAAGAGACGTCTAAGTGTACAAATGAAACTGGGTTTGAATTGCAGCAAAAAGTCTCATGGCATGGCATTTGATAGTTGGTGATTTAACCGTTTTATTTTTATCAGACGTAAAGTAGCTGTGCCTGTACAGGTATGTTCCAGCCTAAGGGGTATAGAAACAATATAAATATAGGCTGTGGAACATTCCATCTTAGTCCTCAGAAGTAATGATGCATCTGTAGCGTTCTTTGTTTGAAGTTGGCAATAGGTGTCCATGAATTACAATAGCCATTTTCCATCAAATAGACCGTAATTCCGTTTGTCACTTCAATTTTATTTAAAAAGAACATCTGACACTTTGGTTGCCAACCCGTCTCCTGAAGATATCGAATATCTTCATCGTATTCATTAACTTAAAATAAAAGTAAAACGTAAAATTACAACCATATAGGTTATAGGCATATACTACCTTTTTTACTAGATACTAAGCCTTTTCTCATTTCTGAAAACATGATGGTGCAACTACTTGTCCAGTGCACATTGCCGGACATCAATTTCCTTGAAATATTTTATATCTCGTACATGCAGATGTTTTCTTGAAGTTAACTTTCATCGCCGAGCACGAAGTAAATTATCATTTAAAATTTTATATAACAACTAACAATTTAATATGTGTCACGAAATCAATCCCGGGATTGATCGCGTAATGTGAAATTTACGTCGAGATTAGCCAATGAGCTACCATAACTTTACATATTTTTTTTATAGAATAAGGGTAACAAACGAGCATACAGTCCACCTGGTGGTAAGTGGATGCTATGGCCCATAGACATCTACATTTATCCTCGGTTAAAAATCGATTAAGAATCAATGACTTTTGATTTTTAATTGTTCCCGGTATATGTTATGCCGGGAACAATTATTTAACACTATATATGATTCGGGCGTCATACCATCGGATTGGCTCAAATCCACCTTTGTCACATTGCTCAAAGTTGCTTCTGCGAAGAAATGCAGCGAATATAGAACAATCTCCTTAATGAGTCATATTCTAAAATTATTCCTTAAAGTAATTCATAAAAGAATTTATAGCAAATGTGAAGACCTTATTTCAAGAACACAGTTTGGGTTCATCAATGGCCTGGGAACGAGAGATACACTTTTCGGGTATCAAGATTTAATACAGAGATGCTGGGACATAAATCAAGATGTGTTTGTATGTTTTATCGATTATGAAAAAGCATTTGATAGAGTACAGCATGCAAGAATGATTGATATATTACAATCCATCGGACTCGACTCTAAGGACGTAAGGTTCATTAAACACCAATTAAAAGATTGGAACCAATCGGCGAATGTACGTATAGAGGGCAAACTAACAGATGACTCGGAAATCTTACGTGGAGTACGGCAGAGATGTATTATCTCGCCAATTCTTTTCAACATTTACTCAGAGATGATTTCCCGTTAAGCTTTGGATCGGGTGGATGTAGGTATCACAGTGAATGGTCAGATTATCAGCAATATCCGTTACGCCGATGACACTGTACTTATTGCATCTTCAATGGAAGATCTTCAGATCCTTATAGACAAAATTCAATCTGTTAGTTCAGCGTTTGGCCTCAGTATCAACACCAGAAAAACCAAATATATGACAGTTTGTAAAACACCACCTGCTAACCCTTCTCTACTATGTAATGGACAGCCTTTACAAAAAGTTAGCAGATACAAATATTTGGGATGCTGGGTTGATGATACGGGAGACCACAGTCTCGACTCTTGCCGCATATAACAAGCCCGTAATGCTTTCTTTAAGCTTAAGTCACTTCTGTGCAATAAAAATCTGAACATCCAGATACGAGTACGATTAGCACGCTGTTATGTTTTCTCCATTCTTTTGTATGGCGTTGAAACATGAACCCTCACAGAATCGAGCTGTAAGAAGATTGAAGCCTTCGAAATGTGGGTATACAGGAGAATGTTAAGGATATCCTGGAGAGACAAAGTTGTATATTTAGTAAAGAAAAGAAAGCTTGAATATCTCGGCCACATAATGAGAAACAGAAAATACGATCTACTGCAACTTATCATACAGGGCAAGATCCAAGGAAAAAGAAGTGTGGGTCGAAGAAGAACATCTTGGCTGAAAAACCTACGGCAATGGTTTGGAAAGAGCACCCGTTCCTTATTCAGAGCCGCGGCATCAAAGATTCAAGTTGCCTTAATGATCGCCGACCTTCGAAAGATGATGGCACTTTAAGAAGAAGAAGAAGAATCAAAACGTAGATGCGTTGCCACCCCTGAGGACTAAGATGAAACGCCTCGTTTCAAGTAAAACGGATCTCTACACTCACCATACGAAACACAGCAGAATTTAAGTTGCTATTTTACGCTGGTATTCTTTGAGAGCGTGGTCCTTCAACGGTCGAGCCGACATATTCGTGTTACAACCATGATATACCTGCAGCGTGGCTCTACCACATAAAATCCTACAGTTATCAATCAATACGGTATGTGACAACTGTTTGAATTTATGATTGATCTCATAGACGAAGATAGTTCTTTATTTATAAAATAAGGGTGATGATAAGTGAATATTTTGTCCCATAGATATTTACTACTACTACTACTAACTACTAAGATGGAATGCTTCGTTAACAGTAAAAAGGCATCCGGTTCTCTGCACTCACCATACGAAACACAGCAGCGTTAACCTGTTATTTTACGCTATTATTCTGTAAGAGCATATGATATTGATCGAAGCGACCCATTCGCTACAATCATAATATAGCACTTGTTTCCTCTACTAAAATAATTAAAACCACTCACTTCTGTAGCCGCGTACAGCAACATGCAGAGATACAGAGTAACTTGCACGACCCTCAGCACGAGCAGAGGCGATACGAAAGCCTCAAATTTCGCCTTATATTCGTTAATGACCTGACACATACGAGCGCACTCGTGTAACGCCGCACTCGTATCCGCATCGTAAGCTAGGTCGTATATATCTGCAAGAAAATAATTAAGAAGCTGGATATAAAAACTTAATTATCTGAAAATATCATACGATAATATACATGATCATCATCATCATCTTTACAGCCCTTCACAAGTCCACTGCTGAACATAGGCCTCCCCCAAGTAACGCCACAAAGCACGGTCCTGAGCCACCTGCATCCATCGACTTTCTGCATGTCTTACCAGGTCGTCAATCCATCTAGTAGGGGGTCGCCCTACACTATGTCTACCGGTACGAGGCTGCCACTCGAGAACCTTTCTTCCCCATCCGTTATCGGTTCTTCGAGCTATATGGCCAGCCCATTGCCACTTCAGCTTACTAATCCGTTGGGTTATGTCGGTCACTCTGGTTCTACTGTGGATATGCTCATTTCTGAGTTTATCACGCATAGAAACTCCGAGCATAACCCTCTCCATAGCTCGCTGAGCGACCTTGAGCGTCCTCATACGGCTAGTAGTGAAGGACCACGTCTCAGATCCGTAAGTCATCACTGGCAACACACACTGGTTGTACAATCTAGTTTTCAGAGTTTGAGGTATACCTGACGAGAAGATTTAGATAATTTCCCGAATGCTGCCCAGCCGAGTTAAATCCGTCGATTGACCTCTCGGTCGAAGTTCGACTTACGTAATGGGACTATTTGCCACAGGCAAACGTACTCGTCAACAACTTCGAGCATAGTGCTCCCAAGAACTACCGGCATAGCTGTGACATGGAGATTAATCATGATCTTTGTTTTGTCCATGTTACACGAAATGATACATTCACTCGAAATCCTTCAAACTTACTAGACGTGATTTTGGAGCGGATTGTTTATACAGCGTAAGTGTCTGTTCACACCGAAACGTCACGCGATGCTCACTTTTTAAGATAGTGATACAAAATATTACTTTATTTACTACATAAAAAGATATCTACATATCTTATTGAGATGATTCAAAAATGCCCGCGACATCGCTTCCGCCGTCAAATAACAATACCTGCACTGCTGTGTTGGTCTGAAGGGTAGAGAGAGCTAGTGAAGTTAAAGGCTGTGTGGCATTCCAGCTTGGTGACAACGCATCTGTGGCCTTCTATGTTTGAAGTTGACTAGGTGCCCATGGACTGCAGTTCCCACTTGTAGCAAAGAAAGGAAAAAGGGAGATCTGCCGCCAGGCATGGTATTCGACCTGGGGAGCGGCCAACGCTCCGAATAGTAGTTCGGAGCTATTCTATATATACCTATTTTACTTCGGAACTTTGATAGCGCGATTTAGGGTTCGATGTGTTTCGCTTGTGGCGCGACGACAGCGCTGCCACACACTTATGATCAGGTGGCTTGTAAATTTGTGAGTCAGTTCAGTTTTATAAAAAAAAATCTGTTATATGAACGGACGCCCTTGTCTAAGTCCCCTTTAATTTTGACGTCAACAAAGGTGTATCGGGCCAATGAATATTATTCTGAGATGTCGAGTGTATGTTGCATCGCACTTATACCGATCAAACAGGAAATAGCCTTGAAACAATAATATGTTGTAGTACTTACTGTAGCTTGTGTTATGTCCCATAGAATGTCGCTGAAAATGTTATATATTAATATTATTATATAGCTTACATTATCCTATGCCACCACGAGAAGAATAAAAAAATATTTTAAGAAAATATATTTCAATCAATACATTTGTTTACGTAGAGTAAATTTTAACAGTGGTAGAGCCACGTAGCAGCCTTTGCTGTTGCATGTATGGGCCGGCTCAAACCGGGGTGGTACCACGACTTCACAGAAGACCGTCGTGAAGTAGAAGCTTTGCTTCTGCATTTCGTCTGGTGAGTGCATTTCTCCCCCCCCCCCTTAACGTGGTAGCGGAGTTAAATGTGAGACTACCCCAGGAGGGTACAGCACCCCCGGTGGCGGAGAATCCCTCGCTGAGCATCAACGCCTAAACTCCCCTACTCTTCCTAAACGTGGGTGCTCAGTCTGCCCCTCGTATTCTGGGGGGGGGGAGGGGCGAAATTCCGCTCGACACTAAACCTGCTAAACCTGCCTAAACCTGCTCGGGGCAAACGGAGCAATAAGTCAAAGGCGCCCCCTGCCACGCTATCTGTGGATTTCTGCAACATCAGGGGACTTCATTCAAACCTTAACGCCGTCCACTACCATCTGGAAACGGCGAAGCCCGCCTTGCTCTTTCTAACTGAGACACAGGTGTCCTCTCTGGCTGAGACTTCATATCTTTCCTATTCGGGGTACAGGTTAGAACACTCTTTTGTGCCCCGGGCTGGAGTTTGCGTGTACGTCTGAGAGGACATCTGTTTTCGACACCTCGGTAGCTTTGAAGGTACGGACCTGTCCATCTCATGGCTACTCGTAGACAGCAACGACGATCCCCGCGTCCACGGGTGCCTATATATTTCCTATAGCGGTAATGCCGACAGACCACTGACACACAGACCGACTGATCGACCACGTCCAAATGGCTGCAGACTCCGTGCTATAACAGGTCCCATCCGCAGAGATCGTGATACTTGGTAATTTTAACGCCCACCATGCTAAATGGCTTGGTTCTCGTTTAACCAATCATGCGGGTAAATCGGTTTATGACTTTGCTTTGGCATATGGTCTGACACACCTAGTTGCCTCGCCTACGCGAATCCCAGATGTGGAAAATCATATACCTTCCCTGTTGGACCTTCTGCTGACCTCTCACCCGGACGGATATCATTTCTCCCTTGATGCCCTCTTGGCTCCTCTCTCTCCTCTCCTCTAGCTCCGTACTCCGGATCAGACAATGGTCTGCATTGTCTGATTCGGTACGGTGCTACTCACGCCTCCATCGCGGTTGCGTACTGCAGGTTGCCGCCGTGTTTGGCATTATAGGTCAGCCAATTGGGACGGGATGCGATCTTTTTTTGCATCCCACCCTTGGAGGCGAGTTTTCTTCTCGCCGCATGATCCCAGCGTTGTTGCTAATTCTGTCGCTGATGTGGTGCTACAGGGAATGTAACTATTTATTCCATCGTCTGTGGTACCTATCGGAGGCAGAACCCAGCCTTGGTTTGGTCGCTCCTGCAAAATTGCATTACATCATAAGCAGTAGTGTTACCAGGCCTGGGCTCTGCAGGCTCTCCTGGGCAGGCGTTCTTGAAAAGAAGTTTAATTCTGCTTCCAGGTCCTTCAAAAGTGTCATTGTCAAGGCAAAGTCAGAGCACATCGGCAGAATTGACGAGAAACTTGTTCGTCTTCCACGTGCATTCTGGTCTCTCGCCAAGGCTGTCCAAGGGAACTTCTGCCAGCTATCTCTTCCATCTCTGCACAGGGTGGATGGCTCATTGGCCCATGCCGCAAAGGACAAAGCCGATCTACTGGGCTCTCCCTTTGCGTCCGACTCGACTCTTGATGACGAGGGAACACACCGCCGACCATCCCGCAGTGTGATTGATCCATGCAGGATGTACTGTTTGCCCAACGCTTGGTGGGCCGAGCACTCCTCTCCCTGGACATTAACAAGTCGAGTGGGCCCGATGACGCCCACCTATTGTACTGAAGACGTGTGCTCAGAGTTGGCACCGGTCTTAATGCGTCTTTTCCGGTACTCCTACTCCCTAGGCGTAGTCCCGAAATCATGAAAGATAGCCTTCGTGCACCCGATTCCTAAAAAGGTAACCGCTCTGATCCATCCCACTATAGGCATATCGCCATCACCTCCTTGCTCTCTAAAATGATAGAATCTATTATTAACAGCCAGCTCATGCGGTACCTTGAGGATCACCAGCTGATTAGTGACCGCCAGTACGGTTTCCGTCGCGGTTGCTCGGCTGGTGATCTAGGTTACCTAACTCATAAATGGGCGAAGGCAGTAGAGTCCAAGGGGGAGGCATTGCCCGTTAGTTTGGACATAGCGAAGACCTTCGATCGGGTTTGGCACAAAGCACTTCTTACGAAGCTTCTTTCCTATGGGCTTCCCGAGAAATTGTGCAATTGCATCACCAATTTTCTTGCTGATTGGAGCATCAAGGTCGTAGTAGACGGTGCATGCTCCAATTATAAGCCCATTAACGCTGGTGCTCCACAAAGCTGCGTGCTATCACCAACGCTGTTTGTTTTGCATATCAATGACATGTTGCAAATCGGTAGCATTCATTGTTTTGCAGACGACAGCATTGGTGATGCTTAATACACCAGCCGTGCCAAAATTTCACAGGAAAACTTCGCCGAGTACCGGGACAATCTTGTGTCTGAAGTCGAGACTTTGTTGAACAACATATCGTAATGAGGGCGACTAAATCTAGTCCAGTTTAATCCCCAGAACGACGACAACAAAAGGACAACGCATCTGCAATCCCCTTGGTGTTGCAGCTGTTCATGGGCGACGGTAATTACTTACCATCAGGTGAGCCGTATGCTCGCTTGCCCCCTCTCCTACAAAAAAAATCGCGTAGTGGCGGTTTAAAGGCGGCTTCTCACGCTCTCTCGCAACGCACCGCACCCAAGTTGATTTGTATGCGAAGCACGCGCCGCGCCATGTCAGTGGAAACGGCGCGGGCTCACGCGTGGTGTTAGCTTGCGCGTACAAATCAACTCGGACGGCGCGGTGCGTGATAACACTCGCAGTGAGAAGACGGCTTTGGACATGCGCGCCGCGCCGTGCCTAGCCCTTCACACTGCGCGTGACGCGTGCGGGCGTGGCGCGGCACGTGATAACACACACAGTGAGAAGCCGGCTTAAGAATACCAACTGCCCTATACATTCCCGTTGGTGTCGTAAGAAGATCAAAGAGAAACTGAAACAGGAACAGATATTTAAAAAAAAACTGCAGTTGCCAACCCGCCTAGCGTCGAAACTATGGCAAAACCCACCCATGAAACAATTAATGGGTCGGCCTATGTCGTAATACAGCGGTGAAGAGTTTCGGGATATTAAGTCACCTTGTGTTACAGCTCTCTGTAGTTGGATAGTATCCATACTCTGGTTCTGTACTGGTATAGCCATCGTAGCCCTACTGTACAAACACTTCAGCACTTCGATATACCGACAGAAAACTTGGCATCGCTGAAAGGACTGTAGCACCGCCCAAACCCCAAATTTCGACGTTATTATAGGCTTTCTCATAGTCCTCATACGCCAGGCAAAGCGGCAGATTATACTTTTCCATCTTCTGTAGAATTTTCCGAAGGGTACGTTTGTAGTCTATGGTACTAAAGTCTTTTCGAAAACAGGCTTGTTCGGGAAGCTGGAAGTCGTTGAGACTGCGTGCGAGACGATTCGTAATGACTCTCGAAAACAGCACGTAGACGCGGCTCAGAAAGGAAATCGGTCTGTGGTTCTTCTTTTTTATAGCATTGGGTGACATACGAGCACACAGTCTACCTGATGATAAGTGGATATATAATATAGCTGCAGCCTGGCTCTACCACGTAAAAGAGAGATTTTCGTTGCCATCTTTCTTGAAGAACAAGACCTCCGCACTTCTGCTCTATAGTGCCACCATGTAGGACGGAATCAAAGAGCTTCTGAAGGACATCAAGTACCGGTTTTCCCACCCGCTTTTAGAACCTCCGCTGTAATTCCATCTTCGCCCGGGGACTTGCCGTTTTTAAGGTGCTGGAGCCATTTTAATCTCGCTCATACTGACGTCCGGGATATCATCGGAATAGTGTCGGATAAGACTTGGTCTTGGATCGTTACTCAAACTTGTATGTGGCTCCAATGATGACGTATACAGCTGCCCATAGAACCTCTCAATATCACTCAAAACGCTACGTTAAGAATCGCTATAGTTCGACAATTATAAAAATTGTGTTAGTTCACGTAAAATACCGTACTCGCGACGGACGCGAGCTCATTAACGTAACATTAACATTTTACATTTTTTAACATATTATTTTAATCTTATATTTTTGACTTCTTTATTAAACTGTTTTACATACAATTTAAATTATTATTAAACACACGTCCTTTACCCGAACACTCAGTACCCAATACTAGTAATGAGTAGTTCCATCTTAATTCGCATTTCGATTCTTAATTTAGAATGTGTGTATGGAATCCATCCATCATCAACTTAGCGTCGGGTGGTCTGTGTGCTAGTTTGTCACTCATATTTTTATGAAAAAATCATTGTGAGTACACGCACCAATTTATTATCATAATGGTAACGGGAGTCCCTCATCTCGGACGTGTTATACATGTAATTATGTCGCTCATCTTCTAGCAAGTCCTTGTGGGCAGCCAGCAGTGCAGAATGCTGTACGCCTTGCAGCAGCAGGGCGGTGAAGCGCGCGTTGCGTAGACTGCAGCACAGCAGGTCCAGTTGACCGCACAGAAGTATAGCGTTGGACGTGAAAAATATACCTGTGATTGGTCAATGTTAAACGGCTACATTTTATGATCGAACCACTAAGGTCCTATTTATATGGGGAAATATTTATGAATCATATCCGCCTCGCGGAGGCAAAGACGGGTTATGTCGGACTCGCATCGACTTATTAAACTCAAATCTACTCTCGCCGCATGTAGCGTTGCCAGACTTTTTCACACACACAGTCAGGCTTTTTGGTTGCGTGTTCGGCCAAATTAGACAATGTCCGGCTTTTATTAGGCTTTTTTAAATTCGACCATTCCTTTACATTTTTCATATACTTATATATATACTATTGCAATTATTGAAATTAATACTCTAATGAATATTGAATGATTAATTTATTAATAATAAATAAGACTAATTTATTCAGTTGTTGTTATTTCGTTATAACTTAAGAATATTTTACGGTAAATGATAAAAAACATTGCATTACTTCCGTTTTGCACTACTTATAAAATTTCCGGCTAAGCTCGCTGGTCTGTCCGGCTTTACAGTTTTAAGACCTATTAACTCTAGCCGCATGTAGGCACTGGTATTTTTTCTGTGAGGTAATACCTACATAATTATACCTAACTACCTAATAATACCCACTCGTAACCGACTCGCGAGAGCTACGACGGGTTATGTCGTACTCTCACCTACTAAAATGACAATAGTATTCCACCATAGCCACATATAAGCAGGACCGCTTTCACTATATTGAAACGTACCATAAATATTAAGAGACGTGGTAGCTCAGATGGTTAGCGCTCGCTGTAAATTTCACAGTACGCGAGAAAACCGTGTTCGATCCCCACCGGCACCAATGAAATTGTTAATTGCAATTTTAAGTGCTGATTTACCACGTGCTCGGCGGTGAAGGAAAACATCGTGAGGAAACCTGCATGTCCGAGAAATAAGAAAAAAAAATTCGAAGACATGTAAAATTCTTCAACACGTATCGGGGCAGCGCGGCGGACACTTCCTTTCCCTAAAACCCTCTCAGAAATGAGGGGAGGCCTGTGCCCAGCAGTGGGACGTATATAGGCTGTTACTTTACTTTTTTTATTTTTACCATAAATATTTGGCCGTAGAAGGAAAAGGGAAGATCTCCCGCCGGACAAGGTGTTCCGCCCAGGGAGCGGCCAACGCTCCGTGTGATAGTTCGGAGCTATTTATATAATATGTATACTGTTTTAACTTTGTTAGTACGATTTAGGGTTTTATATGTTTCGCTTGTAGCGCGACGACAGCGCCGTCACAAACAGACTCTCGAGTCTGAGTATATTCTAGGTGTTCCTGACTAACATGAGGGTTTTTATGTCGCTAATTCAATACAAATGACATCCGCCTGTGTTAACCGACCTGATACTGGTACTGGTATAACGATACATTCTAGGTCTTCAAGGGTAACAAAATATCTGTATTTTGATTTTTAATAGAGTATAGACGTAGGTGTCTATGGGCCACAGCACCCACTTATCAGTAATTGGACTATGTACTCGTTTGTCACCCTCTCCTTTTTCTTATGATTACTAATATACTTAGTTAAATAAACCACTTATTCTAATGACATAGACATAAGACTTCACTGATATTAAAGAAACTTCACCTAGCTGGCCCAAAGCCAGCGCCACGAAGGCCTGCGCCAGGCATTGCCTTAGGAACACAAATATAATGAATGTTGTCCTTGTAACATCTGTATAGACCCATGGTTGCAGCGGCTGCTTTGTCCACACTAAAATATGGATTAAATTATTAATACCATTTATAAACTCTCGCCTGTCACCCATAGGGGTAGGCAGAGATTACGGAATTCCATTTGACTCGATCCTGAACTTCTCTCTCGTTTCTTTTTCATACGACACCGGTTCTCGTACAAAATAAGGTTGGCAGTGATTCTGTTGTTTATTATAGTATGCTATGGTAATACTCAACCAAATCAACAAAATAAATTTTGACTGCTGTTACATTTTTGGACTAGGCATTCCAACTGAAAAATTGGTAACTACAACATTCGATTCTTAAGAGAAAACGATATCAATTTCTTTAAAGTTGGCATCGCATATAAGCCTTAAGCCCATTGGTATCGTAAGAGGGGACAGAGGACAAAACAAAACATGGAAAGCATCGCATTTCTAATAACACCTAAAAAATAAAAAATAAACTCAGCTACCACGTGTTGATTTCATCACTTATTAAAATCGATATAAAGTTTTCAGCTCATTATCATAAAATTGAAATATACTCACAATGTACGATCACTGGCAACATAACATACATCGTCACACTAAACAATGTGCAAGCAGTGTAGAAGAAAGCGAAATTCCTTGCAGCTTTGTAACTCTTTAGCATTGTCATATTAGTCAGGCCTCGAGCCGAGTGGCATTTGAAGTTAACGTTCATATAATTGATCAGCTCGTACAACTCATTCTTGTAAAGCGCAAAGTACGCCACAATAGCGACGGACGCAACCGACGGCAACCCGTCGGCTATTTCGTCTAAACTGTGCATGATATCAACCCATTCAGTTTGCAAATGGACGATTAGAGAAATCGGTAGATTGGCAAGCACAAACAGCACTAAGAACAAATAAACATGATTAGCGATTATTTCGTATTCTCGGTTGGGGTTTATAAACCAGTCCCAGCATCCGACGAATTTTAGCGGCAGTGCTAAGAAATGCGTGTAATTCCTAATAGTTTCTATGTCTAATGTTTCTAAACTCTTCTTACTCGATTTCTTTGTCATTTTATTGTAAGATACAATCAATCTTAAACGCAACATTGCGTTTTACATTGCATTTGTAACTATAGACAGTAAATCGTCCTTTTTATACCAACTACAAAATAATTAACCTTTAATTATAACAGTTTACGATTAGTAGCAATTAACTCTTTCCACTTTGTTGAAAAGTTTGAAGTACTTAAGTCTATTCTATTATGAAAATGATTCTCAAGTTTACCTTTTCTAGTTTCAAAATTTTGAAGTAATTATCTACTTACCTACTATTCGAAAACTTTCTTCCGTTATACCTAATTATTAGACAGCTGTCTTATGGTAATAAGTAATAAAGGATTAAATTTACTTAGTTAACTTTTTTACATGGTAGGGCCACGCTGCAGCTATATTATGATTGTAGCACGAATGGGCCGGCTCGACTGGGGTTGGACCACGCTCTCACAGAATGCCAGCGTAAAATATAGCAGTCTAATGCTGCTGTGTTTTGTATGGTGATTTTAGAGAACCAGACACCCTTTTTACTGAAAACGAGGGATTTCATCTTAATCCTCAATAGTGATAACGCATCTGCACTTTGATTCTTATGCCCCATTTACATTCAGCCCTGTTGGGCAGGGAAGTGAGCAGGGCAGTATCACCCATACTCTTCACCGCCGCATTGGAAGATGTTTTCAAGCTACTGAATTGGAAAGGTAGTAAGGGGATATAGTAAGTCAGCTCAAATTCTAATTTCGTCCTAACCCCCCCGGGGGGGAGGCCCCCCCCCCAAAAAAAAACACTTGCCCGCGCGTCGTATGCTATGTACCGACATGTTTGTAATCACTAATACTGTAAGTAGAAAGGTCGTTAGATACTTATTTCATTAGGTTTATCATATTTATGCCTGTTTCTTAACGCCAAGCCAGTCGCTTCTTATTTTTATTACGGTTATTTCCCATTTTAATTTTACGTCGTCCTGTTGCGTAATGTATATTCTGATCGTAAGCGACACAACCTCCCCCTTCAAAGGCCGAAGCGAAGTGACCGGACGGCAGAAATCACGCTTCAAGAGGCCGATAGTTTAGGTAATTTCTTTTTACAGTGAAAATAATGGTATTTAAAAAAAAGTAAATAACATAAGCACTGCTTTATAGTTAGTTCAGTCAGTATGCAAAGTTTCATGATCTTATTTAAAGTATTTTATGAATAACAGTGGTTTATTGTTTATTTTGGAGGTAACTGGATTTTTTTTTCTATCGAGAAAATTTTACGAAATCGTGTTTTCGTCTAACATAATCCTTAACATTAATCCTCAACTTTACCATATATTTATTTCAAAATTAATGCTGCAATATTTTCGGCATAACGAAGGATCTTGCTAAGCCATTTGAGATTATATTTCCCCTTAACATCAATGGCGAGTACATTACTCACATTCGATTTGCCGACGATATACTTAGTCCTTATAGCAGAATCGCTGGAGGACCTAAACACTATGCTCAATGACCTCAATAATGTCTCCCAACGGATAGATCTTAAGATGAACATGGACAAAACAATGATCATGTGTAACACATGAAGCACTAAGCTTGAAGTCGTTGACGAGTATGTTTACCTGGGAAAATTGTTCGACTAGCTAGGTAATTCCAACTTCGACCGAGAGATCAATCGACGGATTCAACTCGGCTAGGCAGCGTTTAGGAAATTACGACACATCTTTTCGTAAGGCATACCTCAAAACTTCAAAACTAGATTGTACAACCAGCGCGTGTAGCCAGTGATGACCTATGGATTTGAGACGTGATCCTTCACTGCTGAACGTACTCGTATGAGAAAGCTCAAAGTCGCTCAGCGAACTATGGAGAGGTACTATGAACAACGAGCTATGAACTATCTTATACTCAGTAGAACCAGAGCAACCGACATGGCCCAACGGATTAGTAAGCTGAAGTGGCGGTAATGGGCTGCTGACCATATAGCTCGAAGAAGAAGAGTTAACCTGATAAGACATGCAGGAAGTGAATCGAGGCAGGTGGCTCGGGACCGTGCTTTTGTGGCTTTCCTTGTAGGAGGCCGTCTTGAAAACATTATAGTACTATATTAAATAAATAAACGTTTACCTGTCTTAGATCTCGCTCAAATAAGCTTATGAAAATAAAATACTTCCAATACATTTAATTCTATTCATTCATTATAATTCACTTTATATCTTGTTGTTTTGTTATGCGTGTGTGTAAATAATTAACAATGCAGTACCGTTTTAATCCAACTTTATTTTTAATCCAATAATATTAACAAATTTTATTAAGTACATATTATTATATTAATGGTAGGTATTAAATTTGCGCAGACTCCACATCCCTGGAAAAGACACGAGTAAAATTAAATTAAACACTTTTTGCCGTTGCACGTAATATTATTGTTTCTTTCTTCCATCTACTTACATAATAGAGAATAATCTATTCGCTTGAACGCCATTTTTAATCCTATCCTTCTCTTTCGTACATGTATGTAGGTATACATACCTTAATAACGTACATTATGGTTCACAAAATATAGCTTGAACTCTGCGACAGTTGTCAGTAAAATCACGCCTATGAAGTCCTGAATTTCTTAGTAGTACAGACAGTACCTGTCTATGTCATACTTTATGGGCATGCACTAATTAGGTCGGCATGCCCATAAAGTATGACATTGACAGGTATTCAGGACTTCATTGGCGTGATTTTACTGACAGCTGTCGCAGAGATCAAGCTATCTTTTATGAACTATAAAATAAATGAAATTTATAAAAATAAGGGTGACAAACTACACAGTTAACGTGATGATTAGTGGATACTGAGACCCTCAAACGCCTACATCTAGAATCAAATTACATATTCATTGTCACTCTTGAGGACAAATACGGAATACCTCGCCTCGTTTTTATTATTCTACCATTTTAGGCTGGTATTCTGTGATAGTGTGGCCCTCATTAATATAATTTTAACAGAACAAAAACCAGAAGGATATTAATATTCTGCTGGCCAGCATCGACTACAGCGATAAATGAACTAATGTTAAACACTCGCTACCCCCGATGACATAAATCATCGGTGTGCTAGGGACAGACATACGCGTGCGGTGCGTCACTTATCGATAACCGCTTACGAGTATTAATTTTTCGAAAATTGAAGAATAATGTGCACTGGCGCGCAGGGGTTTATTAATAAGTGCGGGTAATTTAATAATTACTTTACAAGGGTAATTTAAAAATTATTCATTATAAACAAATGTAACTGTGAAAAATTGGCGAAAATGTGTTCTATACGCCGAAGCAATCAAGATTATTAGCTTGACAAAGATAATATACACTCGTATTTCACCGTGTAGTGGCGGTGTAAGAATATGATATGACAAGAAAAACAAAGAAATCTATTTTTAAACGATAGTAGATAAAAAATCGATTGTCTGTAAAGTCTGTTTACGGACGATAGTTTAACGTGACAACGTCACAACAAAACATTGATGAAAACTTCACTTTAGAAGCAGTCGACGAAACAGTTCACGTGTAGATGTAAGTTGTGTGCTGCCGCTGTTTTTCTTCTCCTCGGACGCATTGGCCAATCGAGTGGAAGAGAGATAGATGTGGCGCAAGCCGAACGCTCAAGACAATCGTGCCTTTCACTCACTCGTGTAGCACTCTCGCTTCGATTGTAACATTACAATGTGCGTAACGTTACAATGAGTCATCGATTTATTAGACGTTGTTAGTTGTTACGTTAGAAAATATTTTGATGTTTTACAAACGAATTTTTTTTTTCATAAAACTTAGATCACAAAAAAACTTACAGTCCACTTAAGTGGTTACTGCAGTCCATTGACACCTGCATACAACTACAAACTAAAAACCAAAAAGGCTACAGATGCGTTGTTATTTCTGTGGACTAGAGTCCGTAATTATACTGGCTCTCTAAAACCTTCAGAATTCTAAACCCTTCAGAAATGACACAGCAGTGCAAGCATTGTTATTTGAGGGCAGAAATAAGTAAAATGGTGGTACATACACCGGCGGACTCCTAGGCAGAAAAGATCATCTACAATTTAACTTCTACGCGCTGGTGAAGAAGGAATATCAGGGCTGCCCTTAATACCAAATCTAAAAAAAAACAATAAATAATACAATGGTGACATTAGAAATGAACTAACTTTATATGATTGAAATAATACTAGTTTTTACGGAATTTATCGCGTTTCGAACGCTTTACAGCACTCATGGTCACGGGCGGGACTGAGATGTTCAACGTCCATATGTTTTAGTTAACCGCGGTTACCATAGATTAAAATTTAACTTTTGTTCCGATCTATACAGTATGAACTTATGGTATCTTGAAGTCTTGCAGTTGTATGCTTGGGTTGGGATTTAATTTTATTTATTATCGGATCCCAAGCAGATGGTAGCACCCAGCCATCTTCTCTATTGAAATTAGGATGTTTTATGATTTCAATAGCCTCGCGAATCATCCTTGGAAGGAATCGGTGTTCTTTAGCGAGGATTTGCGGTCTATCAAATCTGATGTAGTGACGGGGGCGATCCTGTACGTGTTCACAGACTGCAGCTGCAGTCTGTGAACGCGATAAATTCCGTATAAACTAGTATTATTTCAATGTGTAGTGTTCGCGTAAATATAAGAAATCATAACTTTATATGATTCTGAAGATACTGAAAAATAATTAACTAAATTCGTTCAGTCGTTCTCGTGTCATTTGGAAACATACTATTTTTTACCTATAGAATAACATACGGCAACTATGGAAAACTAATTGTTTTTTTTTTATAAACGTACAAAGAGTAATACACTACTAGACCGGCAATTCAGTACAAAAACTGTATCGCAGCTGTGGTTCAAGCGAGCACCGGCTGGGCCAGCCCGTTTATTATATTCACCGTATCAATTACCCTTAATTGGCACGGTGAATATGGTAAATGTGCCACGCAGTTGTATTTTCATTTACGACAGTAACTTTTTTAGGCAAATACGAAATAAAGTTGCATACTTATCTAAAAAAAACATAAAGCATAGATAGCGTTTTCCTTAGTCACATTAAAGAAAAATCAGTGTTAGATGGTATAAAACAATGTTTGCGGTTTACAAAACAAAAAGCTAGTCATCTCGCCCGCTCGTAAAGAATTGACCGTAACCCTTTATTTTGTACCGTTTAGTAGGATTTTAGAAAAACTACTATAAACTAGTATTGATACTTATATCGAATAAGAAATATATCAATATTTCTTATTCGATATAAGTATCAATACTTTTGGCGATGTTTATTATTTCGATACAGCGATATATTTAATTTTCTAAAAAATATTATCTATTATTGATAGATATCAATATTTACTTAGAATATCGATAAAATATAATATCGATAATTTTTTGGCACTTTCTGTTCCCCTATAACTTAGTGCGCGATGTATTAGTATGTTCTTCTTATACCACAAGTATTAGTACTATAGTGCCCATCTAATAATATTCCTAGAAGTGTTTGAATACTAATTGTAAAACTTAAATAGAAGCATTATTTTTTAATAATTGGTGTTCACTCTACAGTATACAGTGTAAAAATAATAAACGAAATTTAATGTGAGCGGGTAGCGAGACCTTGTCAAGTTGACAGTGAATCAAAAAACTGCGCAAAAAATCTTACTTATCCTTAGACCGCCGTTGAGCGATCCGATATATTCTCCTTAGTTCTAGCAAAGCCCTCATAATCACCACCAGCTGCTGTTCAAAGTCGGACTCCTCGACATCCATCGGAATGCCTTTCTGCTGACAGATCTTCGCGTAGAGACTCCATATCGCGGCTCGTACGTGGCATAGCTCCACGTGGCGGCCAGCCGCCTCTTCTTTGAGGCGATTGAGAGCAAGCTCCCACTTAATCACGCGATTTTTCACCTTGTCATATTGCCACTGCAAATTTGTTTATTTATACTTATACTCGTAAGTATATTAATACTACTAGTTTTTATAGGATAGGGTGACAAATGAGCACACAGTCCACCTGATGGTAAGTGGTTGCTGTGACCCATAGACACAGCATTTACATCTATCCTCGATTACGAATCAAAATGCAGATGCGTTGTCACCCGTGAGGACTAAGATGGAATGCCTCGTTTCCAGTAAAAAGGGTCACCGGTTCTCTACACTCACCATACGAAACACAATTGCATTAATCTACTATTTCACGCTAGTATTTTGTGAGAGCGTGGTGCTTCCCCTGTCGAGCCGACCCATTCGTGCTACAACTATACTACTAATATAACTGCAGCACGGCTCTACCATGTATATATAGAAATCTTTGATTTATAATCTTTTACCATTATAGCATATCAAACGTCCACTGTTGAACATAGGCCTCCCCCAACTATTGCCTCATACGAGAGGTTTTGCCATAGTTGCCACGCTTGACAGACGAGTTGTCAACCGCAGTTTTTTATCACGTTGAGTTGTTATCGGAAGATGCTGCTGACCATCTTCTTTTTCAGATTCCCTCTGTCACCTCTTGTAACACTCACGGGACGATGTATGGTCGTGGTTATTCTTCGTTATCATAATAATACCATTGCATATTATTAATGCAACATGAGTTGTAGTAGTACAGGGGCGCAGCGGTCGCTGTGAAGTTCACACCTGGGGTACTCGTGTACTGTGTAGTTCACAGTGTGAACTACACAGTACACGAGTACCCCAGGTTCGATACCTGCCTACACCGGCGAAAATGTAAATTACAATTTTAAGTTTTAGGTGCCAGTTTATCACGCGCTTGATGGTGAAGGAAAACATTGTGAGGAAACCTGAATGCCTGCCAATACTTCCTTGTTCTAAAAACCCACTCATATATGTAACTTTGCTAATTAATGCAAAATGAACACTAATAAAAAAATATATTATAACTATAGACAACAGAGTTCCAGATTTTATTAAATGCAATCAATATACTACATAGTATATATTATATTTAATGGCTAGTGTGGGAGCGAAATTACAATTTAGAGTACAAGGTAATGATTCTTTAGTAGTTTTTTTTTAATACCGGTAGGGATGGTGCGCGTTTAACTGCAAATGGGAGTTCATTCCATAAACGAACGGACTGTACAGTAAAAGACTTGTTCATAAATTTACTGGTGTATAATGCCATGTTTAATTTCAAGCTCTCTGCTGATCTTCACGAATAGGAATCACGAAGAAACTCAAAACGATTTTTGAGGTAAGAAGGATTAAAGAGAACACTATAGAGAAGAGAAGATGAAGTATGTGAGCATTTCGATGAAGTCGTATTGACAACAACTTGAGCTTAGTACGAAAGAGAGAGAGACATGTCGTATTTGTGTAATCCAAATACAAAACCTTATTTTTAATTTACACAGCGCTCCCATCTTTCTTTATTGGTCTATGATTCGGAAATATTCGCCGCGGTCCAAAACGCCAAAATGACGTCATTATCAAACTAACCCTCAAATCAGCGAGCGTGTTATTCAGCCCCATTATGAATAGTTTCTTCTCCTCGGTGAGGGCTGCTATCTCCTGGCGGGCGTTCTCCAGCATCTCCAGGTCTCGCTCTTGTCGCTCCGCCAGGGTATTCTTAGCGGCAGCTACACAAAATAGGTTACATAGACATAATGTAACAACGCTCTAATGGCATAACATACAGAGTCTATTATCGAGACGTTTTCGCTGTTAGTCTATGCGACTCTTACAGTTTCATCTGACTCAGGGCTCAGCGGGCTAATTAAAAAGGGAAAGGCAATGAACGTGAGGATGATGATAAAATAGTTTATGGTTTGGTATTGTTACCAATCATCATGTCGCCTTTTTAGGCGTTACTGAGCTATCTAACCACTGTCCGAGGGCGGGGGAGCACTAACCCCCGCCTCTGACTGCTCAACTAGCGTCGGTCGATGAACACACAGAGTAAGCAATTACAATACTTTATATGATATTTCCTAATGAAACCTTTTCTTTGGAAATTGTATGCTTTCCGCTCCAAAAATCGACTAAGGTAATTAACTATGAAGTCAATCATCATCATCGTCGTCGTCATCATACTCATTACAGTCCTTCACAAGTCCACTGTTGAACATAGGCCACCCTCAAGCAATGCCACAAAGCACGGTCCTGAGCCACCTGCATCCATCGACTTCCTACATCTCTTACCAGGTCGTCACTCCATCTAGTGGGCCGTCCTACACTGCGCTTGCCCATAGCCCTTCTTTAAGACACTACAAAATATAAAGGTGTGTTACGATCACGTGTCAAATAGATCACAGTTTCTGCATACCCCTTTGTGTGACTGGCGTGAGAGTTCGTGTATATATGTATGGTTTTAATTATCCTGTTATTCTTAACTCTCTCTATTCTGTGAGAACGTGGTCCTTCCCCGGTCGAGCCGACCCATTCGTGCGACAACCATAAATATAGCTGCAGCGTGGCTCTACCACGTAAAATTGACTTTCCTGTAAGAGTCCATTGCTAACAATGATTATTTGCAAAAGTATAAGGTTTCAAAATAAGTCGTACAACAAAAGTAGTTGGTTGTAAAGATAAAAATCGAATCGAAAAATCGAATTCAGAAAAAAAAAGAATTTACTTCAGTAACTAAAACTCATATTTTGTTAGTGTTACTTATTACTAAATAGGTTAGAGGGTAAAAATTAAGGTCTGAGCATTTTTTGGTATATATTGCAATTAGCTTTATCATCAGCATTTACGACTGCTAGACCAACGAGGCAGTCATAATCATGAGATCTCGGGTTCGAATCCCGGGTCGGACTAAAATCACTTATTGGGTTTACTTAAGAAATTCTCAGTAGTAAGAGTTAGGAATTTGGCGGTGTCTCACCCCCGTGCTTCGGAAAGCACGTAAAGCCGTTGGCCCTGCGCCTGATTTTTCTCCGGTAGTGTCGGGTTACCGTCCCATCGGACTATGAGAGTGAGGCAATGGAGAAAAGAGAGAGTGCACCTGCGCATACAGTTAGGCACTATAATCATGCGCAGAGTGGCCACCGTGAACGATATTTCGACCCCGTCTAATATTTTTTTTAGAAATATTGCATTTCGACCGCATGTTATATATTTGGATAATAAATAGAATTGGCAACCCTAAACACAACAGTGAGTGTATTGCGAATTGGCGACAGATACAGGTACAGCACAGGGTGTGGACTCTTAGATGAATGCCTAAATCGAGATAGAATAGAGCAATAAATTGCATTTGTTTATGCATTTCTAACATAATTTATCTCGTCATCTTTTATTCTCTTATCATAAACATTTACCTAGGGCTTCGTATCGGTTGAGAACGTCAAGCGGCTGCTTAAATTCTGGATAATTTTGCACAACTGACTTGAGGTAGTCCTGAAAGTAGTGTTTTTTTTTTAATTTATTTTATTAGAAAACTACGTCATGATCCCAATAAAAATATTTAATCCTTACTGAGTCTTAAATGAAAGATAATCACAGTTTAATGCTAATAGTCAGAACTAATAAGTACCTACGAGTAAAAATGACAACATTAAAAAATTGTGTTTGTGTGTGTGTGTGTAGATGTATAGTGTGTGTTACTTCGTTCCTTTAGTGTCGTAAGAGGTGACTATTAGAAGTGAAACAGCAAATGGGTATGAACATCTCCACGATAATAACTCAAAATAAAACTGTGGTTGCCAAATCACCTGCCAAGTGTGGTTACCAAGGCAAATATCCCCAAAATATGGCAAATATGACTCAATCTAAGAGGGAGGCCTGTGTACAGCAGCAAGCTATTGATAGGCTAAAGTAAAAAAATGTGACAAACGACACGAGCACACGATAGTAAGTGGATGCTGTGGCTCATATAAACGTACGTCTACCCTCGTTTAAGACTGGTGAGGACTTGGATTGTGTGAATCGTTACTAGTAAAAAGGGTCCCCGGTGCCCGCTTATTGCTATATTACGCATATTCTATAAAACAGCTCAAATAGTCCACATCTACAGTTTTGAATATTTGTCGTTGTGTAAGCAGTTACTACGCGAATCTTCGATTCGAAAGCCACGGTCAGAGCCAATATTTTTCCAAAAACACAAGTTAACAACTTACGTTTTTGAGTCTGTATTGTGCTTGACCTCGTATCTCTGAACGACATTCTAGGGTGGCAAACTTTTTGATACAAAATATTTTCGAAAAATACCTTCAAAGATATTATCGAAAAAAAAACAGTAAATGGCAAAAACAATAGAACACGTTTTATTTAAATAAATATTTTATTTTTCACAGGAACAACTCTTGCTCTTTTGAGCGTTTATTTAGAGCCTTACAATCATAGTCGGTTTATTAAAATATAGTAACTTGACTTACTTTGTTTTTTTTTTAATAGGTAATAGTATTCGTAAGATACGATATTAAGTAGTGAGGTTGGCAACCCTACGGCATCTTAACCTAATTCTGATCTAGTTGCGTTACTTTGTCGTTTGAAAGTAATGTGTCCAAAACCAGCTAGGAGGATATCATCATCTTTTTGACGAACGGACAAAAACCACCAGCCTCACCTCGTAAATAGTGTAATCACGAACTTGCTGCTCCATTAAACGCTTCACCTCCTCCATTTCAGTAACGCGCTTGCGCATTGCTTCGGTTTCCCGCGTCTTACGCGCTAGCACTTCCGTGTCCGCTTCCATCTTGCGTTCGGCACGGTCACGTTTCTCTTGGTTTTCTCTTATAAACTGATTATGGAAAAAATTAATGGCAATATCATTAAAACAGCATTGTTATCTAAGGGAAGACGATTCACGACAATATATTATAATTATATGATAAGGTAAGGTACTTTTCTATCTATTTTTTTAATAGAATAAAGTATGTGTATATATAAATAATGAATATCCATCTACATTTCATTACACATACAGCCATTTACATTCTACATTTTTAGCCTCAATGATATTAATAGCGCCATTGCCGCTTGATATGAATAGCGCCAAAGCGTCGTAGCGCCATGGCGACTACTTACACAGCACGCGCTATGCGTTATGAAGAGATAGTGCGCTATGCGCTATATTAACCACCATTACAAGCGTAAAGTAGCAGCATTAAGCTGCTACTTTACGCTTGAATTCTGAGAGCGTGGTCCTGTCCCGGTCGAGTCGACTCATTCGTGCTATAACCGTAATATAGCTGCAAAATAGCTTTACCACGAATCGTACGGGTAGTTTTAAAAACCCGAAAGTATTCATGTAGCATTGTTAGCATTGTTCTTTAGAAAAAGGTGATCCTCATCATAAATTATAATTAGGAGGTAAAGTAGAACTCCTTTTATGACCAGGAGTGGGGTAAGTTCCACCCTCTTTACCCTCTTATTTTTGCCGTCAATAATTGCAATCTAAGAGACATTCCATCTTAGTCCTCAGAGGTGACAACTCATACGGTGGGGGGGGGGGGGGGATTTGCCTCTGTTGTCAGGCTTGACAGGCAGAGAGGTTAGCAACCGTAGTCTTTACTTTTTAATAATAATAATAATAATAATGTCCTCCAGACCGAATTTCGGGCACAGCAGCCAGCCTCAACGGAGACTAGCCATCGGCGCAGGACAGGATTATAGTGACCTAGTGTAATCACAAGCACAGGTGCACTTTCTATACCCTCACTCTCATGGTGTCTGATGGGGCGGTAACCCGACACGACCGGAGAGAGATCAGGCGCAGGGCCAACAGCTTTACGTACTTTCCGAGACAATAGGGTAAGACACCGCCAACTTCCTGACTACGGGCAGCCACTGCGATGTTCTGAAAAACTCAATAATTGATTTTTTGGCCAAACCCGGGATTCGAACCCGGAACCTCATGATCAGCAATTGCACTACTACAACCTCTAGACCAACGAGGCAGTATTTTAGTTTTTATAAGAAAAACGCTGCTGCTCATCTCCTAATTTATTTTCCTCACGCCCATATTGCCTCTTACGACACTCACAGCCCACGGGACCATACGGGTTAATGGATATTCTTACACCGCCTTTCTCCTTGAACAATCGCAAAGCATTTAATGAATGGGCGACAGTAGGAGTCCATAAGAGTAGACAAAGGTTATATGAACTTTACAATGAAAGGTCATATAATCCTTGCGTTAAATTTAGGGAATATGTAAAAAAATATTCCAAAATATTTAAAAGAATGTGCTCCTTAGCCAAGTCATTGTATTTGAGCAACAAAATAAAGACTGCTTCTAATAAAATTAAAATGACATGGAGTATCATTAATAGTGAAACTGGTAAGGTCAACTCTCGCAATTCAAACTACCAGTTAAGTTTTAACAATAAATTAACTACATCAGATCAGGACGTTGGAATGGTTTTAGAGAAATATTTTAGTGATATTCCGATCTTAACCACTAAGTCACTGAATTCTTCTCCTGCCGTCGCCGAATCATTACTTAAACAAAATGTAAATGTGTGTACAAAGAATTTTACATTTCATAAAGTGTCATCAAAAGATATTGTAAAATATTTTAAGACTATTGGTATTAAGAGAACCGCCGATCTGTGGGGGATTTCTTTTAAAGTTTTTGCGTCTCTAATAGATGCGATCGCACCTCAACTATCTATTATTTTTAATACTAGTATTGAATCTGGTGTGTTTCCTGATTTAATGAAGCATAGTAAAGTAATACCTTTATTTAAATCTGGTAGTACACTGGACCCCGCTAATTTTAGACCTATTTCTGTACTGCCAACACTTAGTAAAATTTTTGAAAAAATTATTCTTGATCAAATGTTAAATTTTTTTAATGTAAATAATTTACTTCATATAAATCAATTTGGTTTCACACGGGGTCGCTCGACAACTGATGCTGGTGTTAAGCTGATTAAATATATATTTGATGCATGGGAGAATTTACAAGATGCTTTGGGTGTATTCTGTGACATATCCAAAGCCTTCGATTGTGTTCACCATGAAACATTAATCAGGAAACACTATTCAACATATGGTGTAAGAAGCGATGCTCTTAAATTAATTATTTCATATTTAAGTGACAGAACGCAAAAAGTTGTCATTAATAGTATGAGTACTTCCGTATCGATTGTACAAATGGGCGTGCCTCAGGGCTCAAATCTCGGCCTTTTTCTATTTCTAGTATATATTAATGACTTACCTTACATAGTAGGGGATAACCATGATATAGTATTATTTGCTGATGATACTTCATTAATTTTCAAATTAAAACGACAGTTATTAAATTACGACGAAGTAAATAATGCTATAGCTAAGTTAGTCAATTGGTTTAATGTTAATAATTTGCATTTGAATGGAACTAAAACTAAATGTATGAAATTCGTAACTCCTAATGTTAAACATGTCAATACTAATGTAATTTTAAATGGGGGGCAACTGAGTCTTGTTGATACCACCATTTTTCTTGGAATCACACTAGACGCAAAGCTTCAATGGCTCCCCCATATATCAAAACTAGCTAGCAGACTTAGTTCTGCAGCATATGCTGTGAAAAATATTAGAACTCTTACCAGTGTTGAAACAGCTAGAATAGTTTACTTTAGTTATTTCCATAGCATTATGTCGTATGGTATTTTGCTATGGGAACACGCGACTGACACTGAAATTATATTTATTTTACAGAAGAGGGCCATTAGAGCAATATATAATTTGAAACCAAAAGAGTCACTGAGACAAAAATTTAAGGAAATTAATATATTAACTCTGAGCTCTCAATACATTTATGAAAATGTAATGTACGTACACAAAAATAAAAGTAGTTTTGCGAAAATAAGTGATATTAATTATGTAAATACTAGGAACAGACACAAGCTAGTAGTACCAGTTACTCGACTCCACCGAGTCTGTAATTCATTATTGGGGCCAGCCAACCAGTGGTAAATGAAAAAAGTGACTTTCAATAAGTATTGTTATAATCTACATTTAATAAAAAAGTTTCTGTTTCTGTTTCTATGGTTCCGAGTTCGTATCCTGTAACGTGCGAAAATCATTTATTGGTGTTTTCTGTCAAGAAATTCACGTTAGCAGCCCAAAGTCAGATAGTTGGTTGCGAATTTCACCCCATGTCTCGGAAAGCGCGTATAGCCGCGTAATTCTCTCTCCGTTCGTGTCGGATTTCCGACCCTTCAATCAATGAGTCTGTGAGAGTGAGGGTAAAAACAATGCACCTGTGTAAGCGCACATCGTGCACTGTAATACTGTCCCGTGCTTTTGTCTGGAGGACATTGGAGGGTAATAAAAAGTTTCGTATAGGTTTAAGATAAGAAACCTTGTTAAAACTGATAAAGGAATCCTTAAAGAGCAACTCCTTTTCGCGCAGTTCGTTCCACTTCGCATCCATAATCACACGATTGGCCTTCTCCTCCTCGCGCTTGGCAGCCAGCTTCTCGTCCGCTTCCATAAGGTCACGTCGTGCCTGCTCCATTAGTACTTGCGGCGTAGGTCGCGCGACGTCCCATACTGGATATTTTCTGCAGTAAATAATATTTTTATACGTGGTAGCGCCCATGCTGTCGTAGTAGTTTAATGCTGCTGTGTTTCGTATGGTGTGTGTGAAGAACCGGAGACCCTTTTACTGGAAACGAGGCATTCCATCTTCGTACTCACGGGTGACAAAGCATCTGCAATTTGATTCGTTATCGGGATATATGTAGATGTCTTGGGCCATAGCATTCACTTCCTATCAGATGGACTGTCTGCTCGTTTGTCACCATTATCCTATAAAAACAGGATTAATACACATATATATATATATATATATATATATATATATATATATATATATATATATATATATATATATATATATACATACAAATACATATAATACATACATAAACATATACGTAGGATTAATATATATATATATATATATATATATATATATATATATCATCATTACAGTACTTCACAAGTCCACTGCTGAACATAGGCCTCCCCCAAGTAATACCACAAAGCACGGTTCTGAGCCACCTGCATCCATCGACTTCCTGCATGTCTTACCAGGTCGTCACTCCATCTAGTGGGGGGTCTCTCTACACTATGACAAGTCCTCAGTTAGTCAAGTAACGACTGCCCCTGTGAGTCTAGTCACAGGGCCAGTCGTTACTTGACTTTTAATTGCGAATTCGTGTTTATTTCGGATATTCTTTTTTATTGATTTAAGCAAAGCCCTAGCTATGTACTCCTTCACTGTTCTCCGACTATTTGTGTGATCAATCAACTATGAATGCTTTTACTAATGAAGAATATGCTGAAATCGTCTTCATGTATGGCAGAGGTGACGGTAATGTAATTTTTACACGGAGGATGTACCAAGAATGATAATGATGAATGATACCGAATCGAAAATAACCAAACATGGACCTAGAAAAAAGGGCGGACAAAGTCTCGTTAAGAAACAATTGACGCACCCCAATGGCGGCCGCGTAACTTTGTGTGAGTATATACGCGAGCGCGGTTTTGAGCGTAATGGCGGGTGGTAGACTTACTATGGTGTGCATGTGTGCGTGCCGGCTTGTTTGTATTAGCGAGCTGACTTACTATGGGTGCGTCAGTAATTGTTTTAAGAGACGGCGTCCGCCCTTTTTTCTAGGTCCATGTTACGAAATGTCAGAGTGTTTTACAACACATTTCGTCGGCTTTCTGAAGTTGGAATCCATCACGCGAAACCTGGAGTCAATCCGGGAAGACATGGCCAGGTGTCGAGGAAGATATCATTGCAGCTTTCAATGCAGATCCTACTACGAGCGTCAGAGCATTAGCTCAAAACCTCAACATTTCGGTATGGAAGGTATGGAATACGATGCACTGAGAAAACAAGTATTATTTTCACGGCACGGGTGTATTATATAACAAGGTTTGGAAAATGAAGACCCCCACCACAGAATAAATAATTGCCCCCACGTAGAATTCAGTTCTGTCGCTTTTTGCTAAATCGTTCGGTCCTATAGAATCCACGCGCTCTCGCTACAATATATCGCGTAAGAAATACGCCCAAATTTTAGAATGGATGGAAATGAGAGCCTTGGCTTCGCCTGTGCTCTAAGTTTTTTGTATCATATTTTATCTAGAAATATACGCCTAGGAAATAAGACTTATTTTTTATTTAAAGATCTTAACGCAAAAACTATGTATACGCTCAATACAATCGGCAGGCTTGAATGTCGCCAAAGACCTCGGAACAAGACATCCAGACCCAATAACTAGCAATTTTGCGACTAGTGTTCGAACTAGGACACATAATCAAAAAAAGAAACCATAATAAGTCACTCATGAACCTTTAACTACACATATTATGTAATATAATAATAATAATAATGTCCTCCAGACCGAATTTCGGCCACGGCGGCCTGCCTTAACGGAGGCTAGCAATCGGCGCAGGACAGGATTATAGTGCTAAAGTGTAAGCGCAAGCACAGGTGCACTCTCGTAATCCGATGGGACGGTAAACCGACACGACCGGAGAGAGATCAAGCGCCGGACCAACGGCTTTACGTGCTTTCCGAGGCACGGGGGTGAGACATCGCCAACTTCCTGACTCCGGGCAGCTACTGAGAATTTCTTGACAGAAAAAGTCAATAATTGTTTTTTTTGCCCGACCCGGGATTCGAACCCAGGACCTCATGATCAGCAGTCGCACTACTACAACCACTAGACCAACGAGGCAGTCGTTATTATTATGTAATATATAGACGTAAACAAAATGCGTTTTGTTAATTGTTCGCAGAATTATGAATGGAAATAAGAACCTTCGAGACAAAGATCGACTTAATATTATTCTCATTACTAGATCACATCGGTAAAGATATCTATAAGATTTAAACCTCGTCTTGTCGAAAGCAATAACGCTTATCGAAGAGAATATAATCGATCACTAGATCATTACGCCTTAACCTATTGTTAGAGAATAGTACAATTCTTGGCCTTAACACACATGTATGTGAAGAACGATACAGACAATAATAAAATAATAATATCTGCAGATCAAACCATGGTATATAAACCAGGACTAACTGCGACTGGGACCGTATTTGAAACACGTACCTTAAATAAAACGGTGTTACGATAATTAGTGTCTATTTATTCTATTCTATTATAAATTCATGAAAATTGGCGGTGGCGCTCACTTTGTCATGCCTGCAGTCTCCATCTTAGATTTAAAATATTCAGCGGTTGATTCAACAGGAGGCCCATGTGGGATCGCAATAGGTGCTAAATCTTTCATCGTTTTCTTCATTATCTTACTTTAAAAATTTTATGGGATATTTAAGGTATAAACTTCTCAAAACTGCCGTAGATCAAACAAGTTGCTCCGTTGCCTAGCAATTAATAAAACATAATGAATAATGATTATATCATAGACTTAATAGAAGTAATCGAAGATATAAGATGTAGTAAATTATACTAGTGGTTGCCTCGGGTCCTTGTGTTGATCTGATCTGATACGAGTAGCTGACCGTAATTAATAAAAAAATTGAGTTTGTTATTATACAATTTGTATTTTACTTTCAACTCTCAATAAAATGGGTACATAATTACTACATATATTTTATTCCGTAGACGGAGAAACCTATAGACAAATTGACGCCTTCTTTCGCATTCGCACATGAAAAAGATAGATTTATGCATACGCCTTGCATAGAAATGAGGTAGAGCGGTGTGATTGTTTGTCCCTTTCACCGTGCCGGTTTTTTTTGTTCAGCAAACTCTACAGTTTGCCGGTTTTTAAAAAACGGCACGGAGAAAGGGACAAACAATCACACCGCTCTATCTCATTTCTATGCAAGACGTATGCATAAATATATCTTTTTCGTGTGCGAATGCGAAAGAAGGCGTCAATTTGTCTATAGTTTTTCTCTAGAGTTTTACATATTGAAAGAAAGATCGATATATCGGCTCTATTTAAAAAAGCAAACGTAAGTCATTTCGTTTAGTTCATTTATTAAGCAAATTAAATTATAAATATATGAAAATGCTAGATTATTGTTCCTATTAATAACTTTTCAATTATTATTTATTATTTTATTATTATTTTTAATAAAAGAATATTAACAATGCTATAAACATTACTAATATTCCCCTTAACCACTCGTGGTAAGCTTAAATTGCTTGTGTTACGAGTGGTTCACGCCAGTATTCGAATGGCGGATTCGAACCCTTTTTAATTAAAATAAAACTATTATGTTTACCAATATTTTTCAGTAAGAGTTTTTACAGCGTACAGAGACTTTAACAGCGTTTTAAGGAGTTTACAAGTTGGTTTAAGTGAGAAAAAAGTGTTTTGTGACCTTAAGATTGGTGAATCTTGTTCAGTTCAGTTCTTAGAACACTTAAAATTTTTATCAAAATGTGTTTAAAACTTATAAAGATTATTGTATAACCTAAAAATTCGTTATCGTCCTTTCTCACTCGAGGCCACGCCGATCATTAGTCTGTAGGTTTCTCTGTCTACGTTTTATTCCGATATTATACATTTTATGCTTGCTTACAGCTGCACCTTAATCATTGATCTCTAATAAACAAGTATGCTGGACTGGCTATACACAGTGACATAATGAGGCAATTTGATTTTCGCCATTTTGGCGCTGTTAGCAGAAGTGAGCGTCCACGGAACTAATAAAGGAGATAAAACAGTTTGACAAAAAATATCGATAGAATTTCTATACCCAGGCCTACTATTCTATTTGTGTATCATTTTAATATAATACCACACAAAAAATAAATGTATCAATTAATACTTATGTTTAATGTTCCCCACACACGGTCAGATAAAATGGTCAATTGAACTGACTTACATCCAAAAACTGACCGTGAGTGTGGAATCCTGAGTTGAAATATTCTACTGACGACAACCCACGGATTTTTACGGGCGTACTGTCAGTTGAAACAGCTCAGTCGAACTGACATACATCCAAAAATTGATCGTGGGTGTGAAATGCTAAGTTGAAATTTTTAACTGATGGCACTCCAAGGAGTTTTCCGGGCGTACCGTAATCCGCTGGCTTCAGTTCGTTTTAATTACTGGTAAGTACCTACTTTTTTAGTAGCTACTTACATTATTTCTAAGCTTTTAGATTTTTTATTATTCTATATATTTGGAGAATTTCGTTTGACGGAGGATGGAGACTAAGGTGACTGTGATGATGTCACCTTCCTTGTGATTGACTCAGAAGGTGGGTAAAGGATCTCAGTGATGCTACGTAGAACCATCGTGTTAAAACTCATTTTCAAAAAGGTTCATGAAGATCTAGATGACCGTGATGATATCACCTAGTTGATGGCGGACTCCAAATGGGGGCTTAGGATCTTAGTGACGTCACTCCATAAAATCATTGTGTTTGGACTCATTTGAAAGGTACTCATAAAGACCTAGATGACCGAGATGATTTCACCTTCCTTATAGTGGAATCCGAAGGTAAGTTTAGGATCTCAGTGACGGCAATACATAGAACCACCATGATTGGACTCATTTGAAAGGGCTCATAAATACCTAGGTAACTGTGATAATCTCACACTCACACATCATTCCTGATGGCGGACTAAATATCTGGGTAAAGGATCTCAATTATGCCACTACGTAGAACCATCGTTTTTAGACTCATTTAAATACCAAGTGCCTGTGATGATCTCACCTAACTGATGATGGTGGACTCCGAAGTCGAGTATAGGATCTAAGTGACGGCACTAGATAGAATGATCATGATTCAACTCATTTGAAAGGGCTCAGCTAGCTAGACCTAGGTGATATGTATGTGTCGGTACCTGCGCGTTGCACCTGCAGTGGTGCTCGTGTAGCTACTTATCTCGATTGTATAAAAGTAAAACGGACGGAGCGGCAGCCGTTAAGGCAGTCTTGGCGCTGGCTTGGCATGGTGTACTTGTAGTATCCCGCTGCTAGCTCAACCTCGAGTATTCGGATAATTAATTCGTGGAAACTAATTAATTATTATTCTGAGCTATTATATTAGTCTCGATACAATTTATAGTTGATTATCTTTGATCTGTGTATTTCATGATTTTATGAAGTGATAACAAGGTTTTCCATGATAAACCTAGATTTTAATGTCTTCCTACATATGTGTTATGATCTCACCTTTCTGATGGTGCAATCCAAAGATCGATATTAGATCTCAGTGACGGCAAACTCAGGGCTCATAATTTCATTATTTTTAATTTATATGAGTCACGCAATTTAACCTGTGACACTTCTAAACTAAAAATTTTAATTTTAGCCCCCCCCCCCAATGAGGGGAAAACTATAAAAATAAAGAAAACTGAACTAAACATAGTGTACCTATATGTGTTATCTAACTTAATACAATACAAAAAATTTATTATTTTATAAAACTCAACATATTTGATTATCAAACAAATCAAATAATTATTTTATTAATTCTAGACTTGTTATTTTATCAGTTTTTGTGCAATCTTATGCTGGGGCCACATTAACGAGAAATGCCGTTAATTATCGCGTTGATGGACGTTGAATGTAGGTGAGGTCACGACTTATCGCGTTAATTTTACAATAGCTTTAACAATGCCGTTTGCTGTTTGGCGATAACTCGAGTGGCGGTACATCATCAAGAAATTAACGCATGAATTTACGCGTTGAGGAGGCCACACTACGTTTGTCTCACTGTGCACGATGAGCACAACGGGGTCGGAGGTATGGCTATGATGGAGCAGAATAATAAAAAGTTATTACGTTTCTTGAGATTCTGCAAACAGAGCCATGTTTGTGGAATCCGAGGCTCAAAAGTTTTAAGAATCCTACATCGCAAAATGATGCTTTGCGACGAATTATTAAATTACTACCTTTTAAAATAACTATCGAAGAATTAGAAAGACGAAGGAATGCCTAATGGGTTTTTATAGAACCATTTTAAACAAATATAAAAAGTCTTCAACAAACATTAACGCAACTTTAACGCCGTTAAATTTAATGACGTTGAGCGTTCAGGTGTAGCCACTCACTTTATTGCGTTAACATTTCCCGTGACATTTCCCGTTAGTATAGCCCAAGCTTTAGCGTGTTCGCTCGATGATGCAGGGTTGTAAGTATGGATATCGACAGTCTATATTTTTTCAATAAAACGTTTTAATTTTTTATATTTTCTCGAAAATCATTTAATCTACTACTACCCAATTATTTATATACACTATATTATGCCTTTAATTTTTCCCCAGTTTATTTATTTTCTTATTATCTTAAAAAAAATGTAATTTTTAATAGTAATCTCTGTGGTATTAAATTACTATGATCTACGAAACTTAGTACTACTTTACTTACTGTGTGTTTTGGCGGAAGCTTGACCATTGACGGATTGTTGCTCTTGTTCTATCGTATAAATAATGGTTTGAAGTGAATTTTGATACGTAAAAGTGATGAAATTTTTTGTATTAAGTGTCTGCGCATGTGCACTAATAGAGAAAACGATGATACAAGTCCTTCGATGTTAACGTATACCTCAAGTTGTTTTGATCGCTTAGGCATCTTATGAACTTGAGTTACTGTCGTCATCAACTGTCCGCTAGTTAGACAGTTCACTACCGTTCTATCAGAAATACCTGTTGAATACTTGATTTCTTCAGCTACATCTGGTCTGGTTAACTAAGCATGGTGAAAGAATACCAATAACAAAACCTTTACAAACATTCCTCTCATCCTCACGGGTAAACTCTAGAAGAGATCAGGCCAAACACTACATCATACGTTCTCTTATCACCCTATTCTATATAAAAAAAAACCTGTGCTTCTTAACATATAAAACAGCTGACAATATAAAATAACGAGTATTTTTTAAAACTCTTACTGAAAAATATTGGTAAACATAATAGTTTTATTTTAATTAAAAAGGGTTCGAATCCGCCATTCGAATACTGGCGTGAACCACTCGTAACACAAGCAATTTAAGCTTACCACGAGTGGTTAAGGGGAATATTAGTAATGTTTATAGCATTGTTAATATTCTTTTATTAAAAATAATAATAAAAAATAATAATTGAAAAGTTATTAATAGGAACAATAATGTAGCATTTTCATATATTTATAATTTAATTTGCTTAATAAATGAACTAAACGAAATGACTTACGTTTGCTTTTTTTAATTAAAGCCGATATATCGATATTTCTTTCAATATATAAAACTCCGTAGACAGAGAAACCTATAGACAAATTGACGCCTTCTTTCGCATTCGCACATGAAAAAGATATATTTATGCATACGTCTTGCATAG